GACCTTGAAGGAACATGGTGCCGCGGCGGGGTGGGGAGGCTTTTACTTCTTAGCTGCAGAGGCCACCTCTGGACTGAGCCGAGAAAGGAAATAGCATGAATTTCTAGATCACCTCCTGAATTTCTAGATCACCTCCTCAGAGGCCACTTCGAATTTGTCTTGTTGGACTATAAGCCCAGTATAAGAGACTGCCTTGGAGTAGCCCTTATAGTGCCTTTTATTTAGCATAGCTCTGCCTTCTCATTTATATGCAGAAAGGAAATGCCCAATCAAGTGGGCTGCCCACTTCCCTCCTCCCACTTCTCTCTTTTTGCGTGACCCCATGGCTGAAGCCTTGACACTTACTTTCCTTCACACCTGGTTCACCTCAGCAGCTGGATCTGAGAGTAAAAGATGTGTCTGGACCATTCTTCCTACAACCCCATCCATCTCGTCCCCTAGTCCTAGGACACTCAGGGTTGTGGCTTAGGTCAAGGGCCAGGGAGACAGCCAGAGTTCTTTTCTCTGTACCGGGCACTTAGATCCTGCGTGGGAGAGCCTTCCCTGGCTGGGGCCTTGAGAAGCCCAGTCAATGCTGAGGTCAGAAGGGTCCCTCCTCAAGGGGAGAAAATGAGTATAGGGGGAGTAGGTGCATCTTCTGGGGCAAGTGTGAACAGGCCTAGTGGCAGGGCAGGGAGGGCACAGCCTGCAGCACTGGAGAGAGGCTGAGGGAAGTGGTCAGAGGCATATTCCCACGCTCTTGTTTCCCAAACCCTGAGCCTCAGGCACCCTGGGTGTATGGTTGCCAGATAAAATATAGGATACCCAGCTAATTGTGAATTTCAGATAAACAACAAATACTTTTGTGATGTTAGTATGTTCCAAGTATTGTGTGGAATATATATATGTATGTATGTATGTTGTTGTTGTTGTTATGTGCCATTGAGTCGCTTGCGACTCACAACAGCCCTAAACTCAGCTCTGTCCTGCGCCAATCGCACTGTCTCTGACACTCCCATCCCAATTATCCCAGTCACTGAATCAATCCACCTCATAGAGGGCCTTCCTCTCCTGCGCTGTCCCTCCACCCTCCCAAGCATGATGTCCCTCTCCAAGGACCGGTCTCTCCTCACAACATGTCCAAAGTATGTTAGACGGAGCCTCAGAATCCTTGCCTCCAAGGAACCACCCGATTTAACCCTTTCCAGGACAAATCTGTTTGTTTTCCTAGCAGTCCATGGTATTCTCAATACTCTTCTCCAGCACCACAGCTCAAAGGCATCAATTCTCCTTCTATCCTCTTTGGTCATTGTCCAACTCTCTGATGCATGTATATAACGAAATAAAAATAATTTTTATTTATCGGAAATTCACATTGAATTAAGTGTTTTGTATCCCTCACACTCTTTTTGGATGAATCTGACAGCCTCCCTGGATGGAGAGTACTGTGACTGTGGGAAAACAGTCATCTCTGACACCCAGGAGGAAGAACAGGAGGAAGAGGCTAGCGGCCTAGAAAATTCCTCCCAGAGCCTCACCTGATGCTTGCTGTCACCTATTCACCTGCCTGCTCCTAGTCTGAACCCAGAGCTGATTTGATCATTGAAGAAATCAGGTCCACTGAAATGTTAGCCTCTAGACCTTCTCTCCCAAAGATGTTCTCAAGGAGAGGAAAAGGTTTAACCCAAAGAGGTGAAATATCTAGAATAGAAATGCTGATAACACACCTATATGTTGTTGTTAGGTGCCTTCCAGTTGACTATGACTCACAGCGACCCTATGAACAACAGATCTGAACCCTGCCCTATCCTGTACCATCCTCATTACCTCATTATCTCTGATAGACTTGAGCTCATGGCTACAGTCACTGTGTCACTTCATCTTGTTGAGGGCCTTCCTCTCTTTCTCTGACCCTCTATCCTTACCAGTATGATGCCATTTCCCAAAGGACTGGCTGGTCCCTCCTGACAATATCTCTAAAGTATGGAAGATGACATCCTAATCCTTGCAGCCAAGGAGCATGCTCGCTGCACTTTCCCTAAGACAGACTTACTCTTTTAGCAGCAGCCAGGAAATTAAAAGATGAATTATATTGGGGAAATATACTATCAGAGACCTCTCCAAAGTACTGAAGAGCAACGATGTCAGTCTCGAGACTAAGGTGCATCTGATGCAGGCCATGTTGTTGATTGCCTTCGAGTCAAGCATGACTCCTAGTGACCCTATGAACAGAAGGCCTGAAGCCCTTCTGCAACTATCTTCATTTATCAAAGTTCATAGAGTTTCCAGAGGCATGTTGTTTAGACAGTGGATGCCACTCTTGCTTCCAAATAATCCAGGCCATCATCGTTGCAATTACTTGTTATGCATCAGAGAGCTGGACAATGACTAGGGATGATAGAAGGAGAATTAATGCCTTTGAGTTGTGGTGCTGGAGAAGAGTATTGAATATACCATGGACTGCATGGAGAACAAACAGGTTCATCTTAGAGAGGGTGAGACCAGGCTACTCCATGGAGGCAAAGATTCTGAAGCTTCATCTGACATACTTTGGACATGTTGCAAGGTGGGACCAGTCCTTGGAGAGGGACGTCATGCTTGGTAGGGTGGAGGGGTAGCGCAGGAGAGGAAGATCCTCGATGAGATGGATTGATTCAGTGACTAAGGTAATGGGGGTAGGTGTGTCAGAGACAAGAAGATTGGCACAGGATGGAGCAGGGTTTAGGGCTGTTGTTTTTAGGGTCACCATGAATCACAGGTGACTTGTTGGCATATAACAACAATAACAACAACATGAGATATTCAGTATTCTTCTCCAACACCACAATTCAAAAGCACAATTTTTCTTTTGCCATTTTATCAATTGTTCAGCTTTCAGATTCATAGTAAGCAACTGAAAATACCAAAGCTTGCATCGGGAGCACCTTAGTCTTTAAATAGATATCCTTGCTCTTTAGAACTTTGGAAAGAGAAGTCCTTGACAGCAGCTTTCCCCAATGCAACATGTCATTTACTTTCTCCCCCTCCCCTTTTTAACTTTTATTACATTAATAAAAATCTACTCTGGACTTCTTGTCATTACCTTCCAGAAGTTGATGCTTTCTCTTTTTTTTTTTCCTCTTAAAAAAAATTCATTCATTGTTGCACATTTTCTTCTCTCTCCTCTCTACCCCCTCCCCCAGACCACTTTGCAATGCACCTCTTGTCATTTAATTTCTTGACTGCTGCTGCCAAGAGTGTTGATTGTGTATCCAAGTAAAATGAAATAGTTGACAACTTCAGTCTTTCCTCCATTTGGCATCATGTTGCCTATTGGCCCAGTGGTAAGGATTTTTGACTTCTTGATATTGAAATATAATTCATATTGAAAGCTATAGTCGTTGAACTTCTGTAGCAAGGGTTTCAAGTCACTTTTACTTTCTGCTAGTAGGGTTGTATTATCTGTATAATGCTTGTTGTTGATAAGTATTCCTCCAGTCCTGATGCCACCTTGTCCTACAGGAGCCCAGTGGTGTAATGCATTAGGTGTTAAGCTGCTAACAGAAAGGTCTGCAGTTTGAATCCACTTTTCTGAGAGAAAGAAAGGGGCAGAAAATCCTGTAGACTGTCACTCTGAGTTGGAACCCACTTGAAGACAATGAGTTTGGTTAGTTACAGGTTTCCTAAAGGAGCCTTGGTGGTACAGTGGTTAGGGGTTTGGCTGCTAACCAAAACATTGGTGGTTTTTACTCACCAGCTGTTCTTTAGAAGGAGGATGTGGCTGTCTCCTTCTGTCTGCCGTGGAAACCCTCTGGAGCAGTTCTGCTCTGGCCTATGGGGTCATTGTGCCTACAGGGTCACTATGCCTACGGGATCACTATGCTTATGGGGGCCACTGCCTATAGGTCACTGTGCCTATGGGGTCACGATACATACAGGGACACTATGCCCATAAGGTCATTATGCCTATAGGGTTACTATGCCTATGGGGGCCACTGCCTATGGGGTCACTATGCCTATGGGGTCACTATGCCTACAGGCACATTATGCCCATAAGGTCACTATGCCAATAGGGCCATTATGTCCTCAGGGTCACTATGCCTATGGGGGTCACTGCCATGAGGTCATTATGCCTATAGGGTCACTATGCCTATGGGGTCCCTATGCCTACAGGGTCCCTATGGTTATGGAGTCACTATGCCTACAGGTTATTATGTCTTGAAATCAACCTAGTGGCATTCGGTTTGGTTTCCTGGTTTGCTTGCTTCCCGTTAAGTGGCAGACACAGTGTTAGGAGCTCTATGCATATTTAGTCATTCGTCCTCACAAAGATCATATCAGGGAAGACTATTGTTAAAGGGTCTCTGTGAGTTAGAGTCAACGCAATGGCATCTAATCATAATCATCACCACCACCACCACCACCACCACAACAACAACAACAACAATTGTTTTCTCTGAGCCACTAATTGAAAGTTTGCAGGTTCAAGTCCATCCAGAGGTGCCTTGCAAGAACAGCTTGCTGATCTACTTCTAAAACCTCAGCCATTGAAACCATTATGGTCAACAGTTCTACTCTTACATACTTGGAGTATCCATGGGTCAGAATAAACTTGATGGTAACTTTTTCTTTTTCTTTTTAGCTTTAAAAAAATTATTATTAATTTTAATGAAAATTTACAGAGACTTTGGATTTCCATTCATTCATTGTTGCACTTTTCTCCCCTCCCAACCCTCCCCCTTAGTACACTACCCTCTTGGAAAAGTAAAAGAAACATTCTTTCATTGTTTTACAATCCCTCCCCCAAGTCCACTCCACTATGCAGCCTTTGCTCTGGACTCCTGTCATGACAAAAATCCCTAATAATTTTCCCTTTTAA